TGGGCCACTCGACTTTCTCTCGATTTCGATCGCATCCACGGCGAGGAGCTGCGCCGAAGGAAGGAATTCAATGCGAGCTTTGAAGGCCATTTCCTCAATATTCTGTTTCCTGGCATGGGTGACATGCCTCCAGCTTTTGCGAATGAGCACCCATTGAGCTTTGACACGCGTCTCCCTCCCCTGAGCAGGTCGGACATGGAACTGCTCTCCTCGCAGCTGCCGGAATTGGCCGGACAGCTGCAGTTGCCCGATATGAAACCTGTGATAGACTTCTTCGTCCTCCGCTCGGGCAAAGATGGAGAACCGGATCAAGAACAGGAGCAAGATACCCCATTGATGGCTCCTCGCTTGGCCGAGCTGCAGGCACAGACAGCTGCCTCCGATTGCGAAACGGATACGGAAACTGAGTTCGAAAAGCTCAGCACCACATCCAAGTGTGTGGCCACGTCCACCTCTACCAGCTTGGTGGAGCAAGTAGCACGGAGCACTGCCACCGAAGATCTGCTTATGCTCAGTGCTGGCACCCTGACAGAAGAGAACGCTGGCAGTATGCAGAAAATGCGTAGTGACATGGAAAACATGTCTAAGTTGGCCAGAGCCTGCCTTCACGAAGCTCGCTCAAATTTGAACATCTTTCGCAGTGACGCTGCTAACTACCAGGATGAGCTCCAATCCGAGCTACATCTCTTGCGGGATAAGTGCAATGTGCTCCGAATGCAGTGTGAGGCAAGCGAACGGAAATCCCAGGAACAGTTGGAGGAGATGCGCCTGAAACTGCAGCTGGCGGAGCAGGAGAAGCAGACGGCTGTGGCCCAGGCCCGGGAGCAACTCATCCACGAGCACAAAACGGAACTGGAGTCTCTTCGCTGCCGCTTCAAGTTGATGACCTCCATGGAGCGTTCGCCCTCGGACAGCAGTCTTGAAAAACTGGAGCGGCCGACGAGCAGTGCGAGCGTGGCCAGCGCAAACACTGGCGTGGATATCGACCACCTGCTGGCCCAGCAGCGCCAGGAACTACTGGTCCAAAGGGAGCGTGCCATTAGCGAGGCCGTTGATTCGGAGCGATCGCTGTGGCAGTCGCGCCTCCTGCCCCTGAACTCTGAATCTGTGATGGCCAACGTGGGCATATTGAAGGACATGCTAGCCGACAAGGAGCGGCAGTTGGATCAGCTGCGGGAGCAGAATAAGATCCTTACCCAAGAGTCGTATCAGTTGAAAACCCGTTTGGAGATGATAACCAACGAGGACGGCAATAGCTGGCTCAAGGAGAAAATTGACTATCTAAACAAGGACAAGTGCCGGCTGGAGGAGGAGCTCAGCCAGGAGAAGAGCCGGCGCCAAGAAATGGAGACCAGCGTGGCAGCCATGAGAAGGTAAGAAAGTATTTAATTATATATATAATTAAATATATATTTGAAATTTTCGAAAGCTTGTAAAAGTCGGATAAAAAGTAGTTTGTTAAATTTATTTTATTACTGTCTGTACCAGTGAGGTAATAAACAAGTACAACAGTAAAAAAAAAAACAATAGATTTGGTCACTTTAAATAATCCATTAATTTTTTTTATTTTTTGTTTTACACTTTTTTTTTGTTTGGCTTTCTGGTTAGACGAATGCTAACGAATAGCTTTTTTGCCCACAGCTCTGCCTACGATCTGAATGTGGGTGGCACCTTGACCCGCTCCAAGTCCAGCGTCAGTTCCAGTCACCGGGCCATCGCCTTGGAGGGATGTGCGCGAGGCGATCTCGTCTTTGTGGTATGGAGCATGCGTCATGCGCAATTTATGGTCGTCCAGGACTCGCTCACCCTGTACTTTGTGCACGCCGACAGTCTGGCTGGTCTGCAGCTGACGGCACCGGCCACACCGACTCCGGCATTGGAACCCTCGCAGGCAGTTGTGGAACTGAATCAGATCCCGCTGCCCTACTACGCCATAGGTCGGGTCATCGACAAGGAGTACTGCCAGGCGCGAAAGGTGAGCGCATAAATATATTTTATTGGCATGACTACTTACCATTGTGAATTCTTTGCAGGATGATAATCGCTATCGCGTCAGCAGGGGCTCCAAGTTCTATCGCATTAAGCTGGCCCCGTTGCCCTCCCGAAATGCTTCGCGGCGGGAGCGCTTAGAGTGTAAGTAGAAGGTGGAGAAAGTGTTTCATCCATATTTTCGGTACTACTTGTTTGTGTTCATTAGCAGATGAGGTGATCTTAAAATAAAAGTATTTTGGAGAGTATTAATTAGTTTATTTTATTTTGCATGGCTAAGTCATGATAAAGTGCCCAGATTTGTTTTATCTTTTGTTCAATTACAAACAGCATTGTGCTACAAAATTTGACCTTTCATTTTTAACATTAACGAATAGTTATTTCCCATAGCAATGTTGTTTATGTATGATCTTTTTTTTGTTCTAACTCAACTAAAGCTTTAGATTTATTAAAAAACAAAAGGACTTGGACTTGGTCATCTCGTTAGATGATTTTTTTTGTTTTTCAGTTTCGAAAATGATTAAAAATTGTATTTTTCAACTTTCTAAAAACAATAAGGAACAGGAACTTCGTTGTTGCTAGATTTAAATTCAGCTCACTGAAAGCCATAAGAAAATAATACATAAAATAATAAAACTATCAAGGTTCTTGTCTTTAAGAGAGCTAAGCTAATTACATTTATTAAACTTAAAAACAAATTGTATTGGTTTTATTGACCTGTATTTGAAAACATAAATCGAAGTTAAAACGTTGAAGCTTCCCAGGGAGAGCAACTGTGATGAAACTTATGAATAACTTGGTTTTTAACTTTAATAAATTATTGAATAACCTTTGGGTGCTAGCACTTTCTGGTGGGACATTAAAAAATGTCGCATCATTCTAAATTTTAACGGCGTCATAATGAACTCCTAAGAGTGTGCAAATTACTAAGTTAAAATTTATCTTTTTAGCCAGCTCATCCGCCGCAGTAGCCACTGCATCGCCCAGAGACGTCATCGACGCTCCCAGCAGCAGCACGGTGCTCTACCAGAGCTTCAAGCAGCGCACGGTGAGCATTACTAGCGTGAATGAAGAGGATGACGAATCAGCTTCGTTGCTCAGCGAGCGCTGTCGCTATATAAGCGTCAGCGAGGAGGATGAGTTGCATGCTGCTGGAGGCGTAGTGCTAGCGGCAACAACTGCTGTTACATTAGCAACATCAACAGCACCAGCAGCAGCAGCACCAACAACTGCAACAGCTACGGCAGCGGTAGCGGGAGGGTCGACGACAACTGCAGCAGCGACGGCAGCAACTCAAGCACAGTCTGTGATAACAGAGCAGCCAACGGCATCGAGCAAACTTAAATTGGATCTACTGTTGGCCTCTGCTGATATAATTACACAACCCCTAACACAACAACCACATCAATTGCGACAGGAACAAGAGCCACACGTTGAGGTGGAGATTGCAGCGCCTGTGGCTGAATTAAGTCCAAATAAAACAATCCAACCGGAAAATCCGGAACCGGAAACCATTACCATCTATGTGCCCCCCAACCCCACAGCAGCATCCACTGTTTCAACCACTACAAGTGCCAGCATCCTGGCCAGCATCGGTGCGGAGCCGATTATCAGCACAGCCTCCATGCTACCAATGTCCATTGGTGCGGCGGCCATAAGCGAGGACTCCGACGAGTACCGATCGCTCGAGGGCAAGGATGATGGCGACGCCGATGATTTTCCCATTTCCGAATAGTGTACGACAATTGGGAGTAACATATAACTACATATATACATAATTGGAGTGTGTATCTAGGCTAAAACTTTTACTCTATGTAGGAACCGCAGCAAACAAGCAAACAAAACCCCTTAAATAAAAGCCACAGGGCCAACACCGACACAATACAGCAACACCAACAAAAAACAACAACAAAGAACAGTAACAGTAACAGCAACAGCAACAGCAATGTGAAAAGTTATATACTTAACTAATTTAAAGTTTACCAAGTGCAGAATATATATTCAAAAAAGAAACTGAAAACAAATGTTCTAATGTAGTCTATGTCTACATAATGATATAATCTTATCAAATTTGAATGCGGGCCTTAACACAACCCCTTCAAACACAACCACACCGACACACACAAACACAAGCTAGGATTTTCAAATTTTTATTTAAAATAAAAATAATGTACTTTAACAAATTTACCTTGTAATCAAAATATTTACATTGGTAGTTTTCGGTTTAGTGTTATCTTTTGCTTCATTTAGTGCCAAGAAAATTATTTCCAAGTCACATTAGTTTCGTAGCAAGTAAAATTGAAATGAGGAAAACAAAATTATATTTTTTATAGGAATTTTTAAAAGACTAGAACACAAAGAGTTTGCACACATACCCACCCTCACACAAAAACACAAACAAACAAACACAATCTTTTGGGCTCAGCCTGCAAAAACACAGTTTTATGCTCAGCTTACACAACTCTCTTCCCCCGCCACCCACAAAAATCAAACTTTCTACTCTCTCTCCCTCTTTATATCTAAGATATTTTGATTTTTCGACTTTGTGTAAATAAATAAGAACGGAAATCGACGAATAGTTATTTATGCCTTTATTAATAACAAGGAAACACTTGAAAATTAAAACAACAAAATAGATATATACACATTAAATGATTTATGCGTTATAATTTTTTAACGCAAAGTGTAAATAAAAAAAAAAACAAAAAAATAATATTTAAAAATACTTTAAACAATTTAAATGAGGAAACGTGAAAACGATGGTGTAACAAAAGCGGATCGCAAAATTGTCAAGCTTACAAAAAAAAAAAAAAAAAACAGTGTAAAATCAAAAATCAAATAAAAAATGGTAAACATTTCAAAAAACTAAACACGCAGTTTTATTAGTAAAACAAATTTCATTTCTGCCTTTCCAAATATTTAGGCAAAGTACATTTTTTTTTACCTATCAAGAACTGAAAAATAATTCAAAACATCCCAGTTAATTTACACAAAATAATTTATTAGGTGAATATTTTAATGAGTCATTACAATTTAAAATACAGTAATTAATAAGCTTAGGATTATTTAATTATATTCTCATATTCGGCTTACATAAATGATTTACGTGATCCATGTGCTCTAGCTACAGATTTTTTTGCATAAAATGTGAGCATTGGTCTACAAAGAATCGAGTCAAATTATGCTTTGACATGACTTGCAATTAGTTAATAATTATATAAGCTGAATAATTAATTGCACATTTGGCCAAAGCAAATTGGCAAAGGGATTTCACATGGATATCTGGGCTGTGTTAGCGTGATAAATAGTCTTTTAATTGTGCTTGGTTCGGCAAGCATATACCCATGCTAACATATCTATATACATATCCGATATAAAAGCAAAGCTGCTTCAGTCTCCGTTATAGAAAAGTGGGCATAATACATAAAAATTTGATTTCATATCTAAAATTAATTAGGGCAATTTTTATAAAAATTACCAGTGCGCTTGCTTGTGCATTTTGTAAGTGGATTCGAGAAGAACTCATTTACCCTTGCAGAACGGGTGATGTTATTTTGGTTTATAGACTTGTGACTGATTTCTGAGGTGCTTGGGAATTCTAGGAGTCTTTAATATTAATATAGAAGTATTTCAGGCATGATTATTTTGATTAATGTGAAGACAATAAATATCAATCAAATCAAACAAATGAATTTTAACAGTTTTCGTAATTCAGCATTTTTAAATGTTCTGGTCCTACGTTTCACATATTATAAATTCATTAAACAGAAAAAACTCGTACAATTTTGACTTTAAAGTATCGGAAGCCAAATGGCAATTTAAAAAGGCTGGAAACCATAAGTTATTTAACAAAAATCGGAACCGGCCCGATAAAATTGTGTGCTTGAAACCTTTTCCAGGTACATTCTTTGAACTTATTAGCCGCAAAAGTTTTCTTCTACTTTAGTTTACATATAAAGTTGTTCTGTAACTCTGCAAGGGTATCTCCTCTTCGTGGTTTAATCCGAAGATCCACTTTGTTGCCTCCGATTATCTCTGCTGCTCCGTAAGCATGTCTGAACCACATCACGCGGAGTCTGTGCACGACTAGTGAATGGCTGTGGTTGCATCCAACGGTTGGCTGGCCACCCATCTACGACTTCATTAGACTCCAAAATAATTAAGCGTTAAATATGCTCCAATTATTAATTGCCAGCCAAGTCGCCCCATCCATCCATCCATCCATCCATCCAGCTATTTCGACTACTCTTCACAATATTCCGCACTTCTTGAGCACTATTTTGCGCTTCCGGGCCACGCTGGAGCCATGACCTTTCTTCGCCGGACGGAGGACGATGGTGCCGCTGCTGGACTTGGTGAAGGTCGGACTAAAGGCGCTGATCGTGGGCGTGCTGCTGTAGGGCGGGTGGCTGGAGTTCTGCGCATTTCCGGCGGCCTGATCGTAGCTCTGGGTCATCAGCTGATGGCACTTGGTGGCCAGGTAGCGGAACACGGACGCCACGTTGATGTCCTCCTTGACGGAGGTGCGAATGAGCCGGCAATTGAGCAGCTTGGCCAGCGTCTCCACCTCGTCGGCGGTGACCACCGCCTGTTCGATCAGATCGATCTTGTTCTGCACAATCACCGTGGGTATCTCGTTGCACTCGTTCTCCACCTTGCGTTTCCAGTCCTTGATCGCATCGAACGAAGCTCGATCCGTCGTCGAGAAGACCAGCACGGAGGCCTGGGCACCGCGGTAGTAGGCCTTTGTGATGCAGTCGAATTCCTCCTGGCCGGCGGTGTCCCACAGCATAATGCGCACATCTTCGCCGTCGATCTCAATCTGGCGCTCTAGGAAATCCACTCCAATCGTTTTCTTGTAGTCCTTGGTAAATATGCCCTTGCAGTAGCGCTGGATCATCGAAGATTTGCCCACGCCGCCATTACCCACAATGACCTGGTAAGAGAAAAAGGTTTTTTTTTAATGTATTTATTACCATTCATGTAGAAAAAATTAAGTTTGATTCCCCTTTTGAGTATAATTCGCCCTAAATTATGATTTTATACTGCCTATAAATATTCCCAGATAGTTGATCACAATACTGTATCCTGTAGTTGCCATTTATCTATTATACTGATCACACATTCCTTTTCGCGCAGTGTAAGACTTAGAGTCTTGAAAATATCCAAAATGTATTTTTTAATGTAAATGTATGAAAAATTCTAAGGTCCTACTCTTACCCCCTTATATTTTGCGCTTTGGTGCATTTAAGGCATACAAAAAAGAAAATGTAGAAAAAAGTGCGATTTACGATATCAAAAAATTGACATGCTTTACAAATGGGAAAAGATTTACTTGCCCAAAACTCATACTGGCTTACTTTGAGAACATTGCGCAAGGCCTTGGACTTAATTTAAAGTTTTTTTTTGATATTAATTAAATTTATTTTGCGCCAATTCGTTATCGTATCGGGTCCATTCATTGACTGCAAGGGTATTAAGACTTCGGTTTGTTTAAATTAGTTTCCTTTTCGTTTTTCTTAATATTAAACGATCCAAAATAAAAGCAGAAATCAAGTTATTCATAATTATAATTTTAGTTTCAATAAATCACAGTTTTTTTAAACAAAAATATTAACAGATATTTAACAGATATCAATATTAAAAACTAATTAAATTTCCCTTTAAGATGTATTTTTTACATGTTTTTAACAAAAGGCGAGAAAATTAGCTGTTGACCAAATTTATTTGCTTTCTATTGGACATTTAAAACGGTCAGCCGTTTACCCGCTTAATTAAGTCATTAAGCGGGTAATTTACAATCGAATTTGGCCTGTCTCTAGAGACACTTGTAGAGAAGTATGTGGTGAGAAATCAATTTGAAACAATTCCAGAAACCCATTAGAAACGATTCTGCTCAGAGAGGAAAAAACCCTAATTGAACTAGAATCTTAATCCGTGCAGTTTCGCCATTAGCATCGGGCTTGGCAATTCAGATTTGATCCCCTGGGTGCCATTCACAGCACTTGGAGATGGAAATGAACTTAAAGAAAAAATGTATTATTTTAAGCCATTATGATGGCAAAACCGCATTTTATATTTATAAGTTGTTTATACTTATTTATGGGATAGTGCATAGGCTTTTTGGTTCTCACAATTAGTGAGAAATTACTGAATTAATCTCACTAACAAAATAATTTTAAAATAGAAAACTTGTGTATATTTGGCCTGCGGTTTTTCTTTCTGTGCACTCACTGTAGCCATTCATCAACCGAATGGAAGAGATTCACGCAGATGGCTGGGCAACTTACCACTTTAATGGCCAGCTCGATATCATCTTCACGCATGCTGGTGTAGTTGTACTGCGACTGGGACTGGGTCTGCAGAACGGTCGCAGCAGCACCGCCAGTTGCCGTTTGGATCAGACGCATCTAAGCCGGCAGGTGGACCGCCGCTCGTCCAGGTGTGTGGCTGTGGCTCCAGCTCCTGGCCAGGTAAATCGAGTGGAGCACGCAATCTCAGTCTTAAGCAGCCAAATGCAGTTGCGTCCAAATGTATTTTTGTTTTTTGGCCAGCCAAGTTTTCCGCAGCTTTTCACTTTTCCCCCAACTTTGCGTAAGCCTCGATTCACTTTCTACGCATTGATTTCACCAAATTCGAACTGTGGAAAAAAGAAAAACCAAAACTTCAGCGACATCAGCCTTAACATGTAGTAAATTGAACAGTCAAACTTCTTTAACTCAATATGACTGTTGAATAGTAAGCTATCTTATAAAACTGGTTTCAAATATTTATAACCAAGTCATATAAATAGTATTATAGTTTTTATATGAAATGTAATAACATTAAACGAGATTGAATATTGGAAATTAATTACCAATAATGCCATTGTTTAAAAACATTAACGTTGGTATTGCAAAAAAAGTTTTTAAGTTTTTCTCAAAATGTTGTATCAGATTAACATGCTAACATAGTTCATGTTATAGAAGTTTGACTGTAAATACAAAAAGGTTTTCTTTCATTTTCACATTAACCGGTTTTCAGCGCTGTTTTTACTCGTTTCTTCTCCCTAACTCTGTTTTTTGTTTGTCTTTTTCTCTTCTTATTTTTCCTGACTGGCCCCGGGGCCACCGAATGCGACTTCTAATAAGACACAACCCGAACGCCCGACCACGCACGGTTACGTTGTTGAACAACAGGTGCTTCCCCACACCATACGCACCAGGTAATACGAGGGGGTAGTGGGGGGTAGTGGTTGCGGGCAGGCGGGAAGACAGGGGCCAGTGGTCAGTGGTCAGTGGAGAATCGTCAGTGGACAGTGGAAGAGAGATGGAGCATGCATAGCATTAGTATTCGCATTAGCGCGTGCTTATGAATTCTTTGAAAATTGTGCTTTTCTGCTGGCCTTTCCCCTGTTTACAGTTGCTTTCCTCGGCTCCGTGGGCGGATGGCGCGGCCAACGTGGGTTAAGAATAGAACTGGAGTGTTAATATATCTGACCAAACGTTGGGGAGACGCTAAAACCCACTTCTTTACATGGCATTGTGAAGATGAGTTATTCGTTTCGTAGGCAAATTAGTTGATTTCCAAGATTCTTAAAATAGACTTGAAACTCGGTGGTGTCCCACAAAATAATAATAAACCAACTGTCAGATTGGGTTAGAATTAGATTTTAACAGGTCACCTTATCAGCGAGACGGTTAAGCGATTTTAAAGAAATATATAAAACTAATTAATATCTAAACAATTGGTAAAATAATGAAAACAAGTGTACCCTTAAAAGGTAAAGTAAATTTCTTATATTAATATTAAAACAATAATTATTTTAAAATACTTAAGACTTGAGAAAACGTTTAGTTTAAATAAATTTATCAATCACATTATTTTAATTAATGAATTAAATTGAGTTTCAATGAATGCAAAGGATTGGAATTGTAAGGCTTTCAATGACCTAAATATTGTGATCTCTCTCCAAGGTTAAGTTTTTAATAATTATTTAAAGCCCAGCATGATTTCTTGTGATCTTTCAACGCTGTCGGCATTCCACATTAATCGGACAGGTAACACCGGATTTGTATTTTCAATTTCCTATAGTTTATCTCCTTCTTCTCTAACCCAAAATTCACCTTTAACCAACTTTTCAACCTTTCGCTCGTTCTAATTATGGCGCGACTCTTTTTCTTCAGCTTCTTCTAAAAGGTTTAGGCCATTTTCGTTTATTTTTTTTTTAGTTCATTGTTATGATAATTAAGGCCACCGGTTATAGATTTAGTTCAATGGGCATGTGTGCACACTGAAAAAACATTTATTAATAAAACAAGATTTTAAGGCACTACTCCCAAAATAAAAAATTAAAGATAAAAAATATGTTATTACCATTCCTAAATATGTAAAAACATGCCTTTTTAATTTAAATTTTAAAACTTTTTGTCGACTTTTTTATTCTCACACAAATTTAAAGTTTACCTAAAAATATTTCTTAAAAATTAAGTACCGAAAGTTGTTTTAAGAAAAAAATGTTTAAATTGGTTTCAGACTGTTAAAATCGTTCTTTAATTAGAATAACACATTTTTGAATAAATTACACATTTGTTGGTGTATATGAATATTCTGAACACTGTTATTTGTGTCAAAGAATGAAACCATTAAATTTGCTCTTCGAATTTTCTTCTGTGTAGAGCAAACAAAAACAACAGCGCAGATTGACATAAAATCCAGGTGAGCGTGTGTAAGATTATTAGAACCATTTGTTTGGGTACAAGTCGCAGCACAAATGGCGAATGAAGCACCGCACATCAATTTCCACAGTTGCACTGCAATTATTTTGAAATTTGCCCAAGGAACTATTAGATCGGCGGCCGTTTTCTTGGCCATTGTTGTGGAATGTGGATTCTAACTTGTCCATTTAAGTTCACAACGGCAAGGCACCACACCAACACACCTGCACGGAGCCACATGCACTGCTGCACACACCTACACACCTGGCACACACACACTTGCTGCTGCTGGTGCTGCTGCTGCAGTGGAAAAGCGGATTTTCCAAGCCTGCAGTATGGGGAAAATTATGCAAATGCTGAGCCGAGTGCTACTTAAATCAATTACGTTCGCGAATTCCTCATTATTTAAATTATGCTTAAACCGTCGTCACTCGCGCACTAACGGTACCCCGCACAGTGTCGCCTTTTGCTTCACTTTATCTTTTGCCATATTTTTTATAGCTCTTTTACGGCCGTTCCCCACTCAAAAAACAGAGCCCAGCACTCCACTCCGATTGTGTTTTCTGGGTGAGAAACGAACGAAATGAAGTTGCGAGTGCGAAAACGCGAAACTCACATTCGGAATGCCAGCCCCAAGCCAAAACTCACACAGCCCGAGCTGCAGAAAATCGTAAACACGTTCGCAGCGCTCTTCTACATGGCCAAAACAACTAAGCCAGCTAAAATGGAGCTAAAACAACGACGACAACGCGTGCGAAGCGCCTAATTAAAGACGAGCGACGCTTGGGATCCCGATCTCGGAATTGACCCGTAGTGAAAGTCTAGTCACACACACGAAATATCGCTGGCTGTGCCCCTGGCGATTTCCTAGGGCGCCAAGAGGGAGAAAAGAAAACCAACGGCAGCGGGAAGCGAAAAGCTAAAAGCGCACCTGTTGTTGCTCGACGCGTTCGAAATTTGAATGCCAAGCCTGACTTACGGCCAGTGTGACCGCGGCGAGCAGGTGGCAATAAGCCAAACGATCGTTACATGGTCACACCTTACTCTCATACCGTTCCAAAGCGCAGGTGCAAACGGGCTGTCATTTATTTGTAGCCCTTGATGGATATACACATACTCGGTAGGAAAATTCGGAACCTATTTAATGCTGATGAAATGACTATCTTAGTGTATCTTACACAGTTATTAGAATATTATCTGTTTGTTTTGCCAAAAAATTTTATTTACTAAGTGCCTTTATTTTCTCAAATAGGGGCTTAAAAGATTAAATTTAATTAAGAGTTTCTTGCGAGGAATATTTGTGAGCTCAGTAATACCTTTATTTTTGTTGTGTTTTTAAATATTTAGTTAGAATACATACAAATAAAATATATTCTTTTTAAATACTTTCTTGTCATTGAATTCAAATATTGAATTCGAAACGGTTCTCGCATTGAACCGATCGCTTTGCAACACTGTTTCGCGGTGAACGGCAGTCGCAGAAGAAGAAGAACCATCAGCTGTTCGGCGAATCGGAACGACAAGACGCGCATTTGTTTGACTTTCGACTGGGGCTCTAAAAACGGAAATTAAAATGTTAAAGCATTAAGCAAAATTAAACACATCGGTGTGGCCAACAAGGAATATAATGCCGCAGCTTTTGTTTACAAACCAATTCGCTGGCAGGCACGCGCGTGCGCACCAATCGCAATTTATCGGGCGCCAGGACGAAGGACGAGACGTAGAGAAATGCTGGGCCATCGCGAATTTGGAGCCGCGTTAGAAACTCGAGTTTCAGTGCTCAGCGGAATTCGGTGGCATTTCAACGTGTTTTCGGTTGCACAAATCCCCAAAAACAGTATTTATTGTTGCAAATCGCTCGCCACCATCCGTGTGTGAGTGCTCCGGCGAGTGTGTGTGCGTCTGTGTGTGGCGAGGGGCGTCGAAAAGGTAGTGGAAACCTTAGGAAAGTAGAAAGTAAAAAGTGCTAAATTTGTGCAAAAGTAAATTCCGACATTGGGGTGACTGCCGTCTCTTCTTGTCTCCGTCTGTCTGGTGGTGGCTCGTCCTCGTCCTCTTCCTCCTTCTTTTTCTTTCCGCCCGCTCCCCCAAACCATCCTACTGCCAAAGCAAAAAAAAAATACAGTGCGCGCTCGGAAACGAGAACCAAATCCAACGGTGTTTACTTTACAGATAGATTTGTTTACACATAGATATGTTTTTTGTTCGGACGGATTTGTCTTTATTTCCGGGCAGTTTTAAAAATATTTAAAATTCAAGTACATAATCTAATCTCTTAATAAATAACTGATTTACTTATTAAATGTTGTTCAATAAACCCCTTTTCCAGTCTTTGTATATAGTACACAATCTTTTTTTATACAAAGTTATTAATGTTTATAAAAATCATCTAGATATTGACCGACAATTTAACAAAACAGATCTAACAAGTAAAACAAACATAAACAAAGTAAATTTAATTTAATTTTGAAAAATACCAAAAATTATATTATAGCTTTTTTTTATTTTGTTCTTCTTTTTATTAAGTTTATCAAATATTATCTTACTACAGAACACCTTGTAGAGCGCGCACTGTATATGCGAATGTGTGAGCCATGAATATGTGAAAAACAAAGACGGAAAATGGCTGAGAATAAAAATCAATATTGATAGTAATTTCTTGGATGCTTTCCGAGACCTTCCCGCAGGAAGCGCAGTCAGGTGGTCATTGTCCGCTACAGCACCCCCTTTTCCCATTTTGCGCACTATCCACCCACATTTTCCGCCCGCTTTGGGGTGACTCATTCAGCTCACGAACTTCGAATTCCATCAGCAACTCCCTTTTCCCTGGGAATGTGAAAACGCGGTCGCCCTCGCCGCATGTCCATTAAATATTGATTTCGATTCTGCACTACAGCACGCTACAGAAAAAAAAACATATACAAAACCGATTAAAAAGCAATTTGCAAAACGGCAAATAAAATGCAAAGTAAATAAATGGGCCGCAACTCAATTTGGCCTGCAATTTTAACAGTTTATCGTACGGTGAAAGTGCACAATAATAAATAAATTTATAAATCAAAAACAACTTTAAAACGAAGTGAAGATGAAAACGCGACTCGTCTCGTTGACTTACCGCGGCAGTGCATCCGTCGATCCGCGCTACTCCGCCTCCATGTTGCCATGGACCATTAATGATATTAGGTCTACGGAGAGTTATACGAAGGTAAGTACTTTAAGAGGTTGTGTGTGTGGTGAATATAATCAATTGAGTTCCCTGTGCCTATACCTATTTACATTGTCATATAATACAATTAAATACTAATTCTCATGTTTTGCTTAACTAAGTCTTCCATGTTTAAGATTAAGTTTAAATTTATTTGGGTTTACAAAAACTACATACTACTTTGGGGTCGCAGAATTTGCTAAAAACCTGCCGAAACTACATTTTCGGTTTTGAGATAAACGAATATCAATAAAGCAATTTCTTTAGCAGTCGTTTATACAACCAATCTTAAATTGGGTCTATCTACATTTTGTAATCGGGCAGTTACTAGATGCGCTTGAAAAGATATTCGTACGCTACTAAAAAAGTATTCTTAAATAAACTTAAACTTGCGATTGGAAATAACAAAAGTTTTGAATAAAAAATGTACATAATTATTAGCTATTTATAAAATAATTTGTTCAACACACTAGACACTGTTTTTTTTTCATTCTTGTCAAACTGTTAAAGATTTTTATAAAATTAAAAATTAACTACAAACTAATACAAGATAAGTCCATTAGTAGACACATTGATATTATAAATGCCCGAACAGAAACTTGCATTTGGTAGAATAGGCCCCGAGCCGTTTATTTCATTAATTGAAATCACTACAATACAATTCAAGCCATCATAAATGTTGAATTTGATTTGATTTTCAATCCTCCGACCTGCCTCCCAACTCAAAATTGTTTCTTGTTAATCCAATCAAACACGGAATGCTATACCCAGATCGCACATGACAAGCCTGTTCCTCATACTTTACTCGCCTTCGGCGAAAACAATTAAAAGCAATTTGCCATTATTACGGTTGGGTAAATCAATTATGTGCCAAGTGAGATGCTGGCAAAATAGCGAACGAAATTTAATTAATAAGTTTGTGCTCCATAAAGGATAATTACTGCGATTAGTGACCCATTGGCACCCGCTTATCGACCCTATAAATAGATCCGAGATAACCGATGACGAACGCCAAGGAATAGAACCAACTATGAGGCCTAAACAAACTGAGGAACACCCCCGTTCGCAGGTGTAACCCAAACAGATTACGCATACGCCGCGTTGAACACGTGCGACAACAAGTTGCCTCACCCTCACCGCATGATTCCATTTCCCGCAAACCCGTTTGCTCAGTCCCTCTGGGCAATATTATTAGAAGCTGGAAAATTAATTTTAGCAAAGTCCGCAATTAGCCAGTCATCACCGCTCTGCGCGCTTGTGAGAGTGTTTAAGTGTCCTTGCTTCCCGAGGGATATCCTTTGGACAATCTCTCTCGTGCATTTAAGGAAAAAAGGAAAGCAAGAAGAAGAAATGGCCATTGGTAGACTTTAAATTGGGTACTATTATATAATGATTAAGTAGCCCATTATGCCCATTTAAGCTGGTTTTCATGTGTACATTTATACCTAGAACAGTTTTAAAATTAACATGTTCAAAAATGGAAAATATCAAATGTTCTGATATATATTAAATTAATATATTAATTTAATAATTTTCCAGTTTATTAAATTCAGCTATTTTTTGCTTACGTTTTTGCCTTTTTTGCGGTGTGTGAAAAAGCATTTTGTGTCCATTTTTGTTTTGTTTGCGTGTTCTCTTTTTGGTTTTGGCACAGGTCAGGTGGCCGCTTTCGCATTAAAACTAATCCTATCTACGTGCCTGTGACCGTGCCCCAAAGGATCTATGGGGAATCACACCTGCCTCTGGCAATTGTTATTGATGCTCATTGAATGTACCTCGAGCACTCGACTGCCCTCAAGAAATGTTCGCAATCACTTCAACATAAAAATACTTGGCTTGAACCTGCTCAGTGAAGTTCATATACTTTGTGAAGCTTAGGTTTCCTGCAATCCAAGAGGGAATAGGCTTGACTTGTAAGATATGGTTTGGTTAACATAAGGGCAACATTAAAGCTTAGATAACTTTTTTATTTACACTTGTCTTCTGGATTTTATAAAATAATTTTTGTTTATTATTATTTGGTTACTTATCTTATTTGGTTAAAAAAAATATTTATCGAAAAAAATTAGTTATTCAACGAAACGATATGAAATTATAAATATATGTTCATTAACAAAATAAAATAAAAAATAAATTTTTGAAAAATTCTAACTGTATATAACCCTTTAACATCGAAGGCTTTGAAATGTATGTACACTGTACAGGCACTTCCAATGTTTAGAATACAGCTGGTTCAGTGACGTTGTATGGTATTTAATCATAAGAAAAACACTACTTCTGGGCTTATTAAGCTGAATAAAATGTAAAAATACGTCATCCATTTGCGCGTTAACTTTGGGGGCATGCTCATTTTCTATCCTCAGCGCATATCAGTTTCACAAACCATTAGTGCAAGCCCTGTGACATTTTATCCACGCTCTTGTAATCCACTTAGCATCCGTACTCCATGAGGCAGCCACTACTTGTGGTTTGGAAGAGACCGGAACAGACCGTAATTCACTTCATATTTTCTTATTTAAATATTTACTTAAGCCTGCACACTTGTTTATTATAGTTGTTAGTTTTTTTCCCTCTCTTTATTTTTGCATTTAAGTTGACACAAAACAAACACGCACCCAGAGGGAAAGAGACAGATGCGAGTGGCATAAATAAAATGTTTGCCAAAGCTCTTGCCTCTCTTCAGTGTTGTGTGGCAGCTTATTGCTTTATTATGTTAAATAGCGCATGAAAATTATAACAAGCTTCTTAGATGGATGGACGGATGGTCGCGCCACGC